CAAAATCAATCCATGCATATTGATTCATTTTAGTACCTTATTAATGTGCACAGGATAGTCCCTTGGAACAAGGTTCTGACATTTTTCCCTGTTTCCAATAATCTTTCTGAATTCAAATAGTCTGTTAAAATAAGTATTAGTTGCAGATATTAAGAACAAAAAAAGACTCCATATGATAAAACATTTAATTAAAACAGTAATTGTAATTGTCTGTAACAGGTCTAGTATTACTTTTATTTCACACACACATTCTGTTACTGTTACTTTTAATGAACTCTACTATAGGAACTTCGTCAATTTTCACATTTTTGCTCAACTATAAGTTATTGTTCTTACAAATAGTATAATTGTACTGTTTGCCTTAACTAAGAATAATAAAAATGATTTAGATGGAAAGATCATATATTTACCTTTAAAAAACTGTTTATAACCTACCTTTTTAAGTCTTCTGGTCTTCCCCATCCTTGAATGAAAAGTTTAGTGAGAAGTAGACGCCTATATAAGACATCTAGCTTGCTCACACCCATTAGCAAAACACATCTAGGAAAAATATATAAATATTTATATATAAGTATATTGATTTGTTTACGTGAACTGAAACTGTATACTTCATCAACAAAAAAAAAGTTAATAGTAAATAGGTGAACACTGAAAGAAAATTATATATACAGGAAAGGGTTGCATCAGTTTTGGGGAGCTGTCAAAGAGGCTAACCCCTCATGGGGTGCCATTAGTTCTAAAACTGCTTTAGGCAAGGGAGCCACCTGGGTAACTGACCAATCACACCTTTTCAATCTTAGAAAGAAGGGATTGGCAAACCATTTCCACAAATGTTGCCAAAATAGAAGGGACTTGACCCTGTATTTACAAGAGTTAGTCATGAAGTGTGGTAACAATAACAGTAAAGAAATGAATTAGGAAGAATTTAAAAGCATTTATATTTTGTAACTTTTTGACAACACACTTTTTCTGCACTTACACGTAAAAACAAATTTTCAGTTAAAAATGAATCGCCATAAACCAATATATGGAACTACCTGTTCAGCAAATGGGAATAAATTTTAATTCACATAGTGGTTTAATCATGCAGAATAGGATTACATAAACAAACATCAACCTCTGAATATTGAAAAACTGTAAGCAGCAACATCTTTTTCATAATTCTCTCCAGTAATAGTGTCAGTTCAAAAATTTTGTATGGAGATGTAAGATATATAATTATTCAACCTGTAGAAAGACAGAATGCCAGCCTTCCCCTTAGTTATAGTATAGATTTGTTTACTTTTATTGTTACTTCTGTAATATATATATATACATACATACATACACACACACAAACACACACACACACACACTTTGCAGGATGTTAGGAACATAAATAAATGCTGGTTGCCCAAGTGCCAAAATTCTGATTGTGTGATTGTAGGGATGCTGTGCTGGTCATAAATGTGAAGATCTATTGCAAGTTATTTTTTCCCCCACACTATTGTAATTAATATGGTTGTTAAAGGAATAGTCATAAATTGAGGACTACCTGTACAAACTTCCTACCAGTTTTAATTGTCTGACCAATTAGGACCAGTTCTTCCTAAATTTATTTCTCTGACCTTTAAGTCCTTGAAGGCTCTTCCTTTGTCAGATTGCTTCCTCTTTCCCTTAGCCACATATTCTATTATACTGAAACCCTCAACTTCTAATAAGTAAATGAAGAAAAAATTTTTTATTTAATTTTGGAATAGTATCTAAAGTATAAGTTATTAAATTTTAAGAATTTACAGTTCTTAAACTACAGAGTTAATAATAGTTTCATTTCTTTGTTATAGTTAGTTCTCGACTTATGACAACAATCGACCCAACATTTCTGTTGCTAATTGAGACAGGTGAATTTTGTCCCATTTTATGACCTTTCCTGCCAGTTATTAAGTGAATCATTGCAGTTGTTAACTTAGTAACACAATTGTTAAGTGAATCTGGCTTCCCCATTGACTTTGCTTGTCAGAAGACTGCAAAAGATGATCACATGATCATGGGACCCTACAGTCGTCATACATGTGAACCAGTTGCCAAGAATCCGAATTTTGATCCTGTAAGCATGGGGATGCTGCAGCAGTCGTAAGTGTAAAAAAACAGTCATGAGACACTTTTGTCAGTGCTATTGTAACTTTGAAAAGTCACTAAACAAATGGTTGTAAGTCAAAGACTATCTATACAACTAAAGTGCACTATTTTAATGAGTGGGAGGAACTCTTGACTAAAATTAAATACCAGTATAATGTTCATCTACATTTATCAGGCAAAGCAAACAATAACAAGCTATTTTATCCTTTGGTATGCTGTCAATGCTTGGTTAATATTTCACTAGTGCAATTGCTTTCTTGCAACCATTTCTTGTAAACTGAAATGGTTTACTCTTCACTGAATTTAAACAACCTTTCCCTGCTTCCAACGGAAAACTTCAGAAATCTGACGTAAAAATTAAACTTGTAACTTAATTATTTGTTTTATCACATATATAACAACAAATTAAGATTTAGTAATAAAAGTAATCCTCAATTTACAATGGCAATTGAGACAGAATTTCCATTGCAAAGTGGTGTGGTCAAAAAGCTGACATCACTTAACAATAGTAATCTTGGCAGTCTTGATTGCTGCTGTTAACTAAATCCCACGGTCAGTCATTAGGCAATGCAACTTCTTGCTGGCTTCCACCGAACAGATAAGTGGGTAAACCAGCAGGAAGTTGCAAGTCCCAGGAAAGTAGTTGCTGCTGGATGGCAGTGAGTGCAAGGGAAGTGCAGCAAGGGTTGGGGAGATTGTGTGAGGGTGCCTTGGCTAGGCTCGGGAAAGATGTCCAGGAAGGGAGTGTGTGAGGGAGGGATGGTAGGGGTCAGCAAGAGTGGGTGAGAGCGAGGCTCAGGGACAGCGCACAGGGGATGAGGAAGGCATAGGATTGGGACAATGTGTAGAATATGCAGCGAGGCGAGGGAGGGAGAATACCTATGTATCAGGGTAAGCAAACGTCCAATATAAATGAATAGCTTTGCCCAAATTCCAGTGCATGCATTCTTATGTGACCACAACACTAAGACCAAGACACTACTAAACATACACTCTATTGTGCAGCAAATGCTGTGGATATAGTATATTTAGATTTCAGTAAGGCATTAGAGAAATGAGACCACAACCTACTTCTTGGTAAGCTAGAAAACTGTGACATAGACAGCATCACCACCAAATGCATTATTATTAAGGCTGACCAACTGCATTCAACATGTAGCCCTTAATGAAACTACAGCTAAAGGAGGGAAGGAAGCAATGGATACCCCAAGGTTCTGTTTTAGGCCCAGTTCTCTTCAATATCTTTATAAACAATTTAGATGAGGGGGGGAAAATAATCAAATTTGCAGATGACACCAAGCTGGCAGAAGCAGCCAGTCCTCCAGAAGATAGGCTCAAGATCCAGATAGATCTCGACAGAATTGAACAATGGTCCTATCTAACAAAATGAAATTCAATGGAGAGAAAAGTAAGTGAGGAATACATTGTAACAACCTTGAAAACAATGTGATAAATAATGTTATTTAACACAGGGAGAAATCAAGATCCTCATTTTTCTACAGAAAAAAAATACATATCCAAACATTTGTATTACAAGGTTCTCAGATAGCCAATAGTTGTAAATGCTCCTACCTGTCAATCTTGGTAGTTCAATCCTGTCAAGTATCTTCATTGTATCTGTTGATTCAAATAATGAGACAAAATCCAAATGCTGTTCAGTGTATAACTCAGTAAACGAGACACTATGCTATCTACTAATATCAATTAGACATTCTTGGAGTAAATCTCGCAATTTTTTTAGATTTATATGCGATATTAGAACTATTAAGTTACTTTTTTAAATGATTTCAAGCAAATTTAGGTAGCTTGTTTGAGTAGCATTACAATTACTTTAGCTAATTCATTTATGGTAGTACTGCCATAAATAAGATATAAAAGATATAAATGTACCATGCATAAGAGCACCAGTGTGCCTACCGTCCCTGTCTTAATGTTCCCTTTAATTGTATTCATTTTATGTATTCAATTCATGCTTATACTTATATATATTATCTAATATGTACTCGACAAATAAATAAATAAATAAAATAAAATAAATTACTTTGTTCCAATGGGGAAAATTAACACAGTATAAAAAGAAGGGCCAACCTGCCCTGTCCGTATATCAACCAAATCACCCTCACACTTTGGCTGGCGCTACGCAAGGGTTCAAAATCCATGAAGCACCACATTCCTAGCGCACAATCCCCCCCCGACTCCCTCCCCACAATTTCACGGCACGTGATAAGCCCATTCACAAGTCAAGAGTACAAAAGACTGCAATCTACTTCACGAAAATGGGCACAGCAGAAATGTAACGTGAAATTCGACAACCGCCTAAAAATGATACTTCGGCCTGTTTTACAGTCCATTCTTTTCCTCAGGAAGTCTTGGGCAAGAGAATACCATGCTGGAAATAGCCTCCCTTCTATGTAAAACCCGCCCCTGTCGTTTTATTCGCCGTTTAGTTTTTGGACATCAGAGAGGTCACCTCAACTAATTTCTCACAATCACGACTTTAAGGGACCCCACAACCTCAGGACAGGCGGCGTCAGACGGGGCATGCCTGTCCCCTTCGGAAGAAAGAGCGAACCTACGGGAACACCGGGAGAATTGCCGCGGAGCACCTTTCCGTAATGCCCTTGCTCTTCCCACCCCACTTCTCGCCGCCTAGCTCCACCATCCACAACGCCAAAGCACCCAGCTCAACGTCGCTCCCGACTGAATGAAAAGGGGGTGGAGAAACAGGCAGAAGGTCGCCGCTTCTCGTTTCCCTCCCCTCTCCCCCCCCCTACTCTCGCGAGAGCCTCAACGACGGTTTTTAAAAAGCGAGGGGCGGGAGGGTGGTGGCCGACTCTACCAATGGCTCCCCCGGCACGTGATCAGAGTTGCCCCCTCCCCCTTTCTCGCTTTGTAGTCCAAGTACTGCTTGTCATATGCAGTTGCCTTGACTCGCTTTATTGTGCTTGCTGTTTGGCCACGTGACAGTCAGCCGAGGCAGAAAGCCGAGGCGAGGGTTCGGGTGCTCCCTCGCCAGAGGGAGTATGTAGGAGGGTTGGCTCTGCGTATGTGAGAGGTTGAAACTCGGAGGTTTCGAAGTCGGCCATGGCTGCTGCTGTTCTGGAGCCCGCAAGCGAGGACTGGGAGCAGCCTCTTTTGAACGGAGACGGAGACGAAAGGTGCATAGGGGCCACCGCTCTCGGGTCTTATTTGCCAGGGGATCCACTTGGACTCCAGAAGCGATGGAGTCCAAGGCAAAATCCTCTGCAACTCAAGTTGTCTCACGCTGAAGATGCGGAGAATTGTAGTATAAATAAATTAAGCTTCCTCGCAAGCTGCTCGCCTTGGTGCGTAAGAAGGAGAGGTCTACAGTAATGTGTAGTGTAGTGCTAGTGAAATTAGCTTTGAAGCTCAGATGACAATACGCGTTGCAAAATAGCTACATGAATATAAGAAACCAAAACAACTGATGGTGATATGCTATCGGCGTTAAAATCGGTGATGTCTGTTTAATATAAATGATACATGGTATTTGTATTTATGTGTAATGTGTTTTATTAGTGTTGTATATCAGTTTGCGTGACATCTAGGCTAAATAAATACATCTGGGTTATATAATCTTAATAGATTTTTGACCTACTGTCTGTTGCATTGTTAATAAAATATGTAGGAAGGTCAAGGCTGTTTATTGATAAGGTACAGTAGGTGTTTTTGCATATTTTTAAATGGGGTGTGTGTGTACTTGAAACAGACATTTTAATTGTTTTTTTAAATATAAATTTCAGGTCTCTTTGAGTTTTCAGAATATCGTATGACAGGTGTCTCCAACCTTGACAACTTGAAGACTTGTGGACTCCAACTCCCAGAATGGCTGGCTGAGGAATTCTGGGAACTCAAGTCTACAAGTCTTAAAGTTGTATGGTTGGAGACCTCTGCCATATGGTAATATTGAATAGTGATTTTTATGGTGTTTATTGCATAACATTGAGTGTATTAAGGTGTACGTATATATGTGTGTGTGTCATCTATCTATCTATCTATTTCCCTAGAGGGAAACCTGATTAATCTTAGGGAGTAAGACTAGTGTGGCACCTTAAATTCCTGACAGTCCAAGCCCTCCTGTGACCCTTACCTTCTTAAAGCACAGTACTGTAGATGCTTCCTGTCCAATGCAAATTAGAGAGGAGCTATAACTCCTGCTCTTGCAAATACTTTTGTCAGGGGTGAAATGTTCCCAGTTTGGACCGGCTCGGGTGAGTAGGTAGCGATGGCGGCGGGCAGTTCGGAGAACCAGTAGCAAAAATCCCTGCCCCCGCCCCCCATGCCCAGCTGAGCCACGCAATCATCAGAGCCTTTTTTTCCCCTTTTAAATGGCTCTGAGGATCCAAGCTCTGACGATCCCAGCTGAGTTGCCTGTTAATCAGGCAACTCAGCTTGGATCGCCAGAGCCATTTAAAAGAAAAAAACTTTTAGAGCCTTTGAAAGCATTTTTTTACATGGTTTTACATGTAAAAAATGGTTTTAAAAGTTTTTTAAAAATTGGCCACACCCACCCAATCACATTACCCCACCACCACCAAGCCACGCCCACAGAACCGGTAGTAACAAATTTTAGATTTCACCCCTGACTTGTGTATACAGCCTAGGATTGTATTTATGTATTTATCTTTCATAAGTTTATATGGCCACCCAGCTTACAAATAGTGATTGGGTCATCATCTTGTTTCATACAGGGTATTCTTGCAAATTGCATGCCAATATTTCTTGCCCTGGCCTATATCAAAGGGGTTGACATCAATGTTAAAAGTCTCTTCAATTTCTTTGTTTCCTCCTGACAAAGTTATTGCCTGCTTCCTCCTTAACACCCCAGAACCTCGACACCCACATTCTTCCTCCAGGTCAAAGGACTCCATATCACCTCCAGATAATGTAACCATTTTTATGTAATGCATTTGCCCAGCATTCAGTGCCCTCATCCCATATGCCCAGGTGCTTCCCCTCTCCAAATCATACAAACATCATACAAACCTGTCAGCTCACTTTGTTCTCAGCTGGGATAGCTGGAGGTCTAAATATGACTAGGGATTGGAACTGACATCTATATATTCCAATCAGCACTATCCTCTAAACATTTGCTGTATCAACTTTAAACCTCTTTATGCATAAACTGCTCTCCGGTGTGATCCTCCACATCTTATTCTCATGTCTTTGTTATTTTCTACCCAAATTTAAGATTTAGCATTTGTCTGTATTGAAATTCATTCTGATATCAGATTTGTGTCCATTTCATGCTTTGTATAGCAGTTGTTGAATTTGATTGTTGTAAAACCAGAACGGGACATTGCCAATATATGATGACATGCATCAGAGAATGATTTCAATCATACAAAGGTAGGAATAAATGACTAAATGTAAATATAACAACATATAGTCCTAACACTTGAATAAAGAATTTGTTGAAGAATGCTGAATATTTGACATGTTAATATTAATCTCATTAATATTACAATATTGTTTATTACAGATCTAAAGATGTTACGGAAACATTGCAACAATACAAGAGCCGGTGGAGATCCATTCGAATAATGTATCTTACAATGTTCTTCAGCAGTGTTGGTTTGTAAAATTTGCTAACCAGTCATCAGTGTTTTAATATAATACTGTTTCTTGTTACTTCATTGGATATTAATTAAAATATTGTATAGAAATTCCTTATAGAGCGAACTGTGTTTTATTTAATTTTGGGGGGCTCATTTGTAAGTTAAATATACTCAGTAATTTATGTAGGATTTAACAAAAACAAAGTAATATTAGACAATAGCATTATAAACTAGCACCAAAGGAAGAACAACTGTCGCAATAAGCAAATTCAGGAACTTGTTCATAAACTTGTAGGACCAGGTGGAATTAAGCCTGGCTGAAGTAAATGCTCACCAGCAGAATCAATAGCATGGTTCTATTTCCAATATGTCCTGTGGCCATAGTTAGGGAGGTAATGCAACAAAGTATCTGTTGTAACATGTAGACTATGTAGTTCTTAGTATATTGGAATTTGATTGGGGTTAGATATTCCACTGTGTTCCTCACTGTTTTAAAAAAAAAGTCAGTGTTCATAAACTGTCCTATGTAGTTATCTTGACTTTGTCTTAATATTGTGGTTTGTGGTAAAATGGTATGAATTCTAGTTTTCTGGATCATCTTGTATAATGGATGATAAATAATGAAGTCTTTTGTCTTTCATTAAAAGAAACTGAATAATGTATACAATACATTAAAGAGTTTTCATAGTGATATAGTTCCATGTAAGCAGTTCCACATATGCACCTACTACTGACTGAATTCCTCTTTCTTGAAGGTAGATATTTTAGGAAGATACATACATACTTTTTCCAAAATAATTTCCTGGTTTTTGTATGGAATTCCATAATTTTATTTCTCTGAATATGATCAGTAGATGGCAAAAAAGTACTAGAGAAAAATAACTAAAGTACTTTATGTTGCAGGTTTCTCTATTGTCATTATGTCAATATGGCCCTATCTTCAACAGGTTTGTGAATCACCTAAATTTTTATTTACATGATGTTAACTTAGGCATCTGACAGCTGCAGTGGTATGGTATCATGATTAAAGCAGCAAGCTACAGTAGAAACTATGATACTATTGAGTTCTAGTCCTGCTCTCAGCACTAAGCAGCTGATTGACCTCTCTTTCAACTGTAGGAAGAAGGCATTGGTAAATCATTTCAAAAAACATTACCAAGAAAACTGCAGAGACTTGTCCAGGCAGTTGCCAGGGATCAACAGTAATTTGAAGTACTAAATAATAAAGTAATGCTATGAGTTTATTCAGCCAAATGAAAAGATAATTATTTATAGTGCTTAAAATACATATGATCATTATATTTAACTTTGGTTTTTTTGTGGGGAACATGGGCAAATAATTTGCCGTGTCCAAATTGCTGTTTTCTATTTCAAATTTTGAAGAAGAAAGTCTGGAATAGACAATGATTGTAAGTCTTGGCTTCTGGGTTGGTGGAGACTTAGAAGAGACTTTTATGAGTTTTTGCCCATGGAGTGTAGAAAGCAATCCTTATTAATATCATGGTTCCATATTTACAGGCCTTCAAATTCATATAAAGATTCACTATTTTAGTCTGGCTTTCATGATAGTTGTTTTAGCGTACGTTATGTCTTAATCTGTTTTGTTTTAGTGTATGTAAAATTAAATTTCCATGAGCTGGGAAGGGTAGTATAGAAATAAATTAGTATTTTAAGGATGGAATTGTATATCCCCCCATCTTTCTCCTCTACTAATGAAATAATTTTAATTGAGGGGAATGAATTGAAATTATTTCCTGGTTTTACATTGAGATTTATGGTTCTGATTTGATTTTTTAAAAATCCAGATTATGGAGGGAGAATTGCATAGTTATTACAATGGCCTATAGGCCTTATCAATAAAATAAATCTTTTTGTTCAAAGATTATTTTACATAATGTACAGATAATCCTTGATTTAAGACCACAATTGAGCCGAAAACGTCAGTTGCTAAGCAGGACAGCTATGTGAGTTTTGCCCCATTTTATGATCTTTCTTAGCACAGTGGTTAAGTGAATCACTGCAATTGTTAAGTTAGTAACACGGTTGTTAAGTGAATCTGTCTTCCCAATGATTTTGCTTGTCAGAAGATTGCAAAAGGTGGTCACATGGCCCCAGGACACAGCAACCATTGTAATTATTTTCTGGAGAAATATAAAATGGTAAGATATAGGAGAGTTTAGATTTTAGTGTAATGGTGGAATCAGTTGAGTTACAACACAATTAAAGAGGACCAACATCATAATTTTCAGAGAATCATCTTATGGAAAAGAGGAACAGCTATAATAGAATCATACTGAAGTGCAACAGTTTAGGTCAGGGGTCAGCAACCTATGGCTCTGGAGCCACATGTGGCTCTTTCACCCCTATGCTGTGGCTCCCTGGCACTCAAAATATATGTCACAACCGCCAATGTGCAACACTGCCGGCACGCGATTTATTGAGCTTTTCAACTCCCGGTTTCAGAAGAAAACAGAACGTTTAATTCAACTACATATGCTAGTTTTGTGGCCAGTCAAGAAATAGTCAGTCATGGGAAGGTTTTGTGGCTCCCGGTGTTTTTTTCCTGTGGGAAACGGGTCCAAATGGCTCTTTGAGTGTTTAAGTTTGCAGACCCATGGTTTAGGTGTTGAACTAGGATATGGAGGACCAGGCTGAAGTCCATTGTCAGTTATGGAAGCTGATTGGGTGACTTTGAGCAAATCAATATCTTCACCCTAACCTATTCTAGAGCATTGATGTTTTGATTGCCATTTTTAAGTTCTGGAGCAAAAGATGTTTATAAATCTAAGTAATAAAGAAAAAGAGGAAAATGCATGACACCAACCCTTCAAAATATTTTTTGCCATTGATTCTTTTCAAACTGTACCAGCCACCCAATGATATATAAATTATTCAGTAACCATTCATTTACAATTTGGAATGTGTATTCTTATCTACTTATAGTGATGCTGCTAAAAACACTATTTTTGTAATTATTATAATGTGGGAAGGTAGTCTTGATAGACTAGTTTTAAATTTAAACTTAAGTCAGTTTCCATACTAGTTTACTGTTATTCTATAAGTTATTAATAAGCTTAATTTACCAACTAATAGTCTGCAAGATTTAATATATAAATGCTGGATTCTCTAATTTAACCTTGTAATTAAAAATGTTCTCTTCGTTAACATTTACCTATATTTTAGTAGCATAATATCTCTTAGACTTGAATATTTTTAATTACGGTATCCTATTGATTAATAAAATATTGTTGAAATTGTGTTTATGATTTCCATAGATAGATAAAACTGCAAATCCAAGTTTTCTGGGCTGGATTATTGCTTCATATAGCATTGGTCAGATGATAGCTTCTCCATTCTTTGGAACGTGGTCTAATTGCAGGCCAAGAAGAGAACCTCTTGTGGTTTCAACTGCTATTTCAATAGCTGCCAATTTCCTCTATGCTTATGTCCATTTGCCCCCTTCACACAACAAATACTACATGCTAGCTGCTCGAGCATTGGTGGGATTTGGCGCAGGTAATTTTATAAATATTTAAAGTTTGCTAGATTCGTAGCTACATGTATTTAAGGCAATTCAACTATTCGTTAGAGAAATCAAAATCTCAGGCCCTTGAGATCCCTTCTACCCCAACAAGTTGGCACTGAGAACCTCTTGAGTAAAAGTATAATCCTACTGATTGTCTCAACATATAGATTGAAAGGTTTTTCCAGAATCCTGTTTCCCCCAAAATAAGATAATAAGCCCAATTGGGCTTTTGAGTGCATGGCAATAAGCCAAGTGCTTATTTCAGGGTTCAAAAAAATTCAGGGTCTTATTTTTGGGGAAACACGGTACTTGTGCCATGGCTTTCTGTAGGATTAGAGAGTCTCCTAAATTGAGGTACCACAAAGTACAGTATTCTAAGTAATAGACTCATCAGCATAATAAAGATTCCCTAAGATATCAGTCTAAAAGTACTACTGGTAGTCATATTAAGTTAAGGGATTTTTCTCATATGAAAAAAATTGCAAGGAACTTAATACAGTTGCTCAAAGGTAATTTACTCAGATTTCACACCTGAGTGATGCTATGAAATAATTATTTCTGATTAATTACAAGTTTCTAAAAGATTTTCTCAAGCTCATTGATATTTCTGACTAATTGTTTTCACGATAAAGGTTCTTTTGCATCTTTTTAGTTATTAATTTCTGTAATAACGAGACCTATTAAAAATAGATTTGGTGAGCAGACAAAAGACCAAGATTTTGCATACTATACTGTTGGGCTTTTAGCTACGTTATGCATATGATTAAAAATAGATATGTGCCGTAGGTTTTCCAGATAAACATTGTTTTGTTTTGTTTTAGGAAATGTAGCAGTAGTTCGCTCATATATTGCTGGTGCCACCTCTCTTACTGAAAGAACTAATGCCATGGCAAACACTAGTGCTTGCCAGGCAGTGGGATTCATACTGGGACCAGGTACAAACCTACATTGTATTCTCATTTTCTTCAAGTGATTCATTAATCAGTTGCAGGATAAATTTTTTTTAATCTATGTGTACATATTTAAACTTTAATTTGTTATATAAAACCATAGTAATAGTACAGGACTATTTATAAATAGGGCTTGAGTTTAAGGAACAGAATGTGGTTCCAATTTGATTTCAGACTCCAATTTTCATTTAGTTTTTTTTACAGTTTATTGATAAATAAAATTTGAAGCAGTGCGTGTCAAGGAAAAATATTAATACAAACTACTAAAAGAACTACGGGTATGTAACTTATTATTTAGGATTTTTTTTATCAGAAGTTGAACACTTTACTAATTGATTTTTTTTCATTTAGTTAATACATTCGATTTTTAGCTGCTGCATTAAAATTTATATATATATATATATATATATATATATATATATATATATGTAGGTCTTTGGTTATTCGGGTCTTCTCCCACGTAAAATTGGAAGTGTCTTGGCCACAAACACGAAGCCAAACAACAACAACGCAGCTCACCAGCTCAAATCCCCCTGCAACTCAGACTAAGCTGAGCACAACCAAGCCCCCACCCAAACAGAACACACCCCCAGCCAATCAGAGCACAACCAACCCCCCATCCAATCAGAGCACAGCCAAGCCCCTAACCAATCAGAACACACCTCCACCCAATCAGAACACAGCCAAGTTCCCACCCAATCAGCTCACACCCCCACTAGCAGTTAAAAGGAAGAGACAGCTGCGATCTCACATTGCTCCTGGAAGCACGAAGCCGAGAACACCAGCCTGAAGATGACGAATGAGACTTCGTCGAAACGTCGCCAAGACACTTCCAATTTTACGTGGGAGAAGACCCGAATAACCAAAGACCTACATACAAACACCCGCGAAAACCTGAGAAAACATATATACACACACACACACACACACACACTTATATACAAAATATATACATTTATATATATATATATATATGTGTGTGTGTGTGTGTGTGTGTGTGTGTGTGTGTGTGTGTGTGTATAGTTAATATTTTGGGTTTCTTCCCGTGTAATTGTGAATATATCCCCTTACACGGGAAGAAACCCGAAATATTAACTATACACAACTTCGGGCATACTTACTATTAAAATCCAGTTGTATAAACTTATATTTTCTATTAGTTTTTCAGACTCTCTTTTCACTTATTGGGGAAAATGGAATCTCGTGGAAAACAATTTATCTTCAGCTGAACATGTACACAGCTCCAGTTTTATTTGGAAGTCTTCTAGGAATTATTAATATTGTTCTGATAATTGCTATATTTAGGTAATTGAAAATTTAAAAAGTTCTGAATGTTTAAAAGAAAGGTCTTTCAATTTGTATATAAAATCTCTGTTCTTCTTAGTCCATGTAGTTTCTTTAGTTCTTATTATGAACCAAGTAAAAATGAAGAGTAATTTGTGGATTTTGTAGTTGTTTTTAGTATTTCTTGATCAATAATATTGCAGTAGATCTTAGTTTGATAAATTTATTAAATCTTATCAATGAGTATAAATTTCTAAAATAACATACAAGTGTTTCTATTCTGTTCTCAAGTCATTTATGCAGAGTGTTTATAAGACTTGATCCATAAACAAGATAAGTTGCATAATTGAATTAACAAAGAATTGTGCCAGATAACATTGTTTCAACACAAAACTGTCAATTATATTGAAAGTTTCTTTGGCATATTTAATTATTGTTTCACACAATCTCTTAATTTTTAGAGAACATCAGGTAGATGACATGGGACGACCACAAAATAGTATTAATACTGAAACTGAAGGTAATTTGAAATATGTTTTGATATACTTGCTGATATAGGTAGGAATAGTGTCAAATGATAATGTGTGAAGGATGTAGGCGATAGCTTTTGGGATATATGTCTCAAGTATGAGCAATTAACTGCAACTTCAGATCAAATTTATTAGATTTGGTGGTTCATAAGCACGCACTAATGATTGCAATTTGTCGTGGATAGGAATATATCTGCAGCCCTATATAGAGCACATTGCAGTAGTTCAAACATGAGATGACCAGGGCTTGAGAGACTGAGCGCAGGGACGCCTGATCCAGGAAAGGGTGCAACTAATGCACAACACAAAGTTGTGTAAATGCATAGCTTGAATTTTATTTGTCATGTTAAGGTGACTAACAACATTCACAAACTCTAGTATTTTGCTCTTTTTTCATGCAATAAATTGGAAAGGTGCAGTTAATTATAATTCTAATGTACATGCTAGATTCATTATCAGCTGTAATACCATGTTCTAATGAAATGGGAAATTATACTTAGCTAGAGCTTTCTGTCTTGTTCTGCCATTAAAGAGGGCTAAGGGAGCTGCATCTCCTTTATGTCCATAAAACTCATACATATTGCATGAACTAAGATTTTCTCAAAATAAAATAATTGCATCTGTATCTATGCTATGGAGGTCTTTATTTTATCGATTAACTTTTTTTAAAATACAGAAAATAATGAAGTGGTTCAAGATAATCAGCGATACATTGATCATGTGGCTGTGGTATCAACAAACATTCTTTTCTTTGTTATTCTATTTATTTTTGCAGTTTTTGAAACGTAAGTATTTGGTGTTTTTTTTTTTAAATAATCTTTCTTACATTTCTTCATAATTTTGTGACTAAAGTCTGCTGCAACATTTCCTACAATAGCTTTTTCTTACTACCATAACAGATTTAATACATCCAGACATACATGAATTATCACTTATCAGCCATCCTACTTGGGGTGTTATTTATTTATATCTCACCTTTATTACTTATTACGTTTTACATATAACTCAAACACATATCCCACACATCTTTCTCCTATTTCCCCCCACAACAATCCTGTCAGGTGGGTCACCCAACTGGCTGTCTTGGCTAAAATGGAACTGAACTCATGGTTTCCTGATTTCTAGCCTGTATGTGTAATGAAATTAATTTTATGTTCAGAATTCAGAATAAATCACAAGTTGAGTTTTTAATTTGTATTTTATTGTTGAATTTTTTTTTTGAAGGACCAGTATCTTTCTTTAAATGATTTTGAATTTGAAACATTTCTATTCGTAGCACTTGATTTTTGTATTATGCTATTAGTATAAATGCTTCATGCAGTTTTTGTTCAGTTTCAGAGTTGTTAGTTACAATTAGATAGTTGGTGAACACTGAAGTTCAGAAAGTTCTTTACTATATTTAATTTAATACATCTTTTATTGTATTTTTAGCATAGCTACACCATTAACAATGGATATGTATGCATGGACCAGAAAAAAAGCAGTGTTTGTCAATGGCTTAATTCTTGGGGCTGTTGGCATCGAATCAGTGGTTGTGTTTTTAGCAGTTAAAGAACTTTCTAAAAGGTAATATTTCAAGTTATACTGTTTCAGTATATTTTCACAAAAATCTGGTTTCAAAAAAAGGGATAAGTCCTAGAATCCAAATGGCTGTATGTAAATGCATTCTCTAATAGTGATAAATTTATGTAATATCACTGATTCTTAAATCATTACGAACAAAGGACTCAGGGTTTCAATATGGAAAATTTTCCTTGGATAAAATATAGGTACTGTAATTTTAGTTTTCATTATTCAACAGGATTGGTGAACGTGCAATCCTCTATGGAGGTCTAGTCATTATCTTGGTTGGATTCTTTGTTCTGTTGCCTTGGGGGAATCAGTTACCTAATATCCAATGGGCAGGTATAAATTTAAATGTTTGAATTATTTTAAGATATTTGACGAATATATGTGGCCATATATAGTATTTATTTGTATGTTTTCAGACATAAGGAATAATTCTACTCCAGGAAAGATCTTTGGTGAAACCTTTGCATTTTTGTGGATGTCACAAATTGAATTTTCATCCAATAATACAGCTGAAGCAACAGGATGTCCTAGTATACAATCTTGGTGCAGTTATACTCCAGTAATTCATCTGGGCCAGTATATCACTTCTGACATTCTAATAGGATTGGGATATCCAGCCTGTAATGTGATGTCATATACTCTATATTCAAAAATTTTAGGACCAACACCTCAGGTAAGATTTAAATTTAGGCGGATACGTTTTTAAACAAGTTTAACAGTTTTGGCAAACAAGTTGCTAAGTGGTAGATTACTGAGCTTGGAATTGTTTTTTTTTTTTTGTCATGCTTTGGTTAAGCGATAAAACTACATAGTATCAGTATATTTTATCATCTAGCTCACATGATTTGGTGGAGTACAGCTATAAATTGCTTCCTGTAATAGTCTTATTTCAAGAGTGTCAAACTCAAGGCTTAGATATGGGCTGCCTTGGAAACAGTGAAGGACTGGCCCGCAGTGCCTCTGCCAGCGAAAATGGAGCTTGGGAGGGCTGCATGCTCCTGAGCTCCGTTTTCGCTGGCAGAGGTTGCAGGAGGCCATTGCAGCCAAAAATGGAGATCGGGAGTCCGTTTTGCTGGTAGAGTGCTTGGGTCGCCACAGGCGGCCCCAACAAGAGTGATGTTGAGCTGGCCATGCCTCCCTGCCCCCCCAGGTCAAACACAACCCTGATGGAGAACCTTGTGGAGAAATCGAGTTTGACACCCCTGTCTTATTTCATTAAATAATTTTTTTATCCCTTCAGATTATCAAACTTTTTAGTAAAGCTGAGCTACTGAATGTTTTGTGTATGAGGGACAGTGAGATTTTTTTGGGACAGCAACCATTTTACTAAAAGCTATTATTGTTATCCTATAGAGACCTAGATCTTCCATCAGGCCTTGGGCAGAGGAGTTTCATTAATTTTTGAATATGCTACAATCTGTTTTAAATTTTGTATTTCCTTACAGGTTGTTTGATAATTTGTTCTTTTAATATTATATTATTTTTAACTTAGTTTATATGCCACCTCGAGTTGCTTGACAATCAGGCCATCTCATAAATCCTAATACTGCTATTGCTATTATTACTAATGATGACGATGATGGTAGTAGTTTGCTATTTCAAAATTGGGAGAAAAATAAAATTTTGTTTGAATATTTCAGGGCTAACACCTGTCATTAACACTGAACGCAATCTGATCTATTTTAGGGCATTTATATGGGATGGCTAACTGCTTGTGGAAGTGGTGCACGCATTCTGGGCCCGGTATTTGTCAGTCAACTCTACAGTTCCTTAGGACCCCGCTGGGCATTTGGTTTCATCTGTGGAATTGTCGTACTTTCTCTCTTACTACTTGAAGTGGTGTACAAGAGACTTATAGCATTTTCAGTCAGATACGAGAACCTACAAGAACAGCTCTCCTAACTACCTCTCTCTGCTCAGTCTTGTTTTACTTTAATCATTATTTGCTCTTTTCACTATTTTGCATTTTTGGCAGATAGTTCATAGAATTATCATTCACCTGGACTGACAGTATTTCTACCACCAGATTTATATCAGTTTAATAGTGGAAATGACAGACTGTGATATAGTAAATGTTATTATTTTGGAGCAGTTTTAAGAAATGGCACTAGTTCTAATTATATACATTGGATATATTTAAAATACATTGATTCTGTGAATCATGTCTTAAATGAAACTTTTAAAATTGAATTTAAAAAGGCTATTTATTCTAATGAAGTTTATGAGAATGATTGTTTATGCATTTTTATAACTGGTTGGCTTTTTTAAATTGAATTTATTTTAAGTAAAACATAGCAGAAACTAATGCTGATATTTTGCTACACATAATTTATTTTGGGATTTCCCACTCATTCAGTGTATATTTTATATTTTTTAAAAAATGGTTCAAATAAGATCAAGATTAAAAGTAAAAAATAAGAAATGTTGATGCAGCACTTAGAGATAAACACTAAAACTGATAGTAGAATCCTCAAATTTAATACCATGTTTTCCCGAAAATAAGACTTCCCCGGATAATAAACCCAATCTTGAGCACTAAAATAAGCCCCCCCCCCCCAAAATAAGCCCTCCCTGAAAATATTTAAACACATGAGCAGCCGGTCCCCGCCATTTCCTCTGGTTAGGGTTGGGTAGACAGAGCTGGAAATCAGGTAAGATGGCAAGAGGAGCCCCGTCTTGCTCCACGCACCCCAAAATAATAAGATCACCTTGAAAATAAGGCCTAGCGCTTATTTCTGGGTTCAAAAATATAAGACAGGGCCTTATTTTCAAGGAAACACGGTAGTTGGAGGTTACTGAGGTAGTTATCTGAGGTTTCCACTATTACACCAAGAATCTTAGTCACTGTTTTCTTGAATAGTAAAACTTTAACCTATTATGAAATGCCTTCATCTTATTAAACTGGAAAAAAAACTTTAAATGCTGATTGCCCAGTGTTGAAGTTTTTTCCTGATTGTGCAACAGTATAACCAAATTGATTTTAGATTTGGTTTTCTTAACAATTCAACATTTTTCTTCTTAAAGCTATCTTGCACAGTTCCATGTCTCATAAGCAGGACTTCCAGATCACAAATCAGAAAACTGGTGATGTCAGATGTTGCTGAAACTCAGGAGGAGAAATGGATATAGTAGACCCCTTGTGATGTCACAGAGGTGGGGTTCTGGTTGCACAGCATGCCCTTTCATTTATCTGTAGATCACTTACTTATCTTCGGCTTTGAATTGGAGATGAGCACCGCCCCCTAGAGTTAGGAACGACTAGCACATATGTGCGAGGGGAACCTTTACCTTTACCTTATATGACATGTTTGATAACAAGATTTTGAATAGGGGTATAGAAAATGGTGAATTCATACACTGATAGAGCTGGTATCAGTTGATTGTTTTCTTAAATGAAATGAGTTTCATTCTGAAACAAAATGAAATATTATAGGGCTATGTTGTTCCAACAAAATACTAAAGTGCGGATATCTGGGCTGAACTGTTTGGTGGGAAGGTAATGAGAATGGGGAAAAGTCAAATATAGCAATGACAGATCAGGAAAGTAGTAGGAAGGGAAGGAAAATATTAGGAAGACTGCAAAGTGTGATGGGATATCCCATGTAGACACATCGCTATCTATGGTCAAACAGGGAAGGGAATGCATTGGAAGATGGTGAGGCAGGCCATTATTCAGGTGTGTGGGGCTATATTACAAATGGAAACTGTGAAAGGGAAACACGTAGCAGTCTTGGCTTATTCACTTTATAAAAATCACGTTAAACCCCTGGTGATTTTGTTTCATCCATACCCCTGGTACAATAATATTGCTTAAAAGATGAAAGCATAACTCACCCAGAATGGTTTGGCAGAATATGTATATCTGAAATTTGAAAAAACATTTTCTATTCTGTGCACACCTGTTTTTGTTTCTGTTCGTTTAAGTCAAAGCATAATAAATAAAATACATAAAAGTCTTTACATTCTTATGTTCTATATATAATATACATGCATATATTATCATTTCTACATTTTTTTTACTGAACTGTCTACCAATAGTGAACAATGCAAAAACCAGGACTGTACAATATTTCAGGTTTGGTCTCCAATATATGTTTTGCAACATTTTAGAGCAGCTGTTATCGTGGAAAAGAGCGGGATTACTTCAAAATTTGGCAGATAGTTACTATTTTAGTGCTTTCTTCCACTCTGAAGCACCATAGAGATTCAAACCAGTACTGTATAGCCATGGTAAAAATTCCTTCTCCTGTTTTTCATTTTTTTAATTTGTGAAACAATGTATTTTACAATGATCTTCACAAAGAAGACAGTTGAGAATATTAATGAAAGTCCTAATGCTTCCTGTTTCACAATGAAAGTTAAAAAAAGTTTTAGAAGAGAGAAATGGCAATTAATCCTGTCTGATGTCATGAAATATGCTGTGCTGCTTCCTCAACATAGGATATGGTTGTTTATAAATAGATAATAGTTTCTATTATATGAGATGTTTATTTATTGATCAGTTAAATATAATATAGACCGAAACAAGTAAATAGTGCCACATACTGGTAATGGCTAGGTAATAAAATCATACAGATCTGTGATAAAATTTGCCTAATTTATATTTTATTCTCTGACCTGCTTTTTCCTTATTTTGAAACTTTTACAATTGGGACCTGGATTATTGTTTTCTCCAGAACTCTTTCAGTGCTACAGGAGGGGGTTTCTTTTGTCAGCCTTGTTTGCTTTTTTTATATTAGCTTTTACTTCCAATGCAAAGAAAGCAAGAGAAATACTTCTGTTGGCTCAATAACATTTTTTTAACTACATTAGTTCTATTATTCCTGTTTGAACTTTCAATTTCTCTTTAAACTACAATACAAACCTAGAGATAGTTTCTAGAAGAACACCCTCAGGAATGTTTCAGTCACAATAGATTTCTTTCCCAAATTAAATAATAAAACACCAGAACCATTATAAACCTGTTACTTGGGGTGCATGCAAGTGTACAAAACGTATGGATTCTACTGTAGATTAGAGTTTTATTAGTAAACTAATATTACTGTGCATACGTAGACATTTGTGTTAAATAAATCAAGGGATCTAAATTATCACTGCATTTATTTTTTAACACTTTTGCAGGGATATTGCATTAAAAAGTTACAAAAATATAAAAAATCATAAAACAATACTTTTCATATCTGAAAACAGCATAAAATACAAAATATTTACAGGCATATATTGCAATAGAGGTGTTTTTTTCTTGAGAGCTGCAAAAACAGAACACGCACATATATACATTTGTGGGGTGGGAGTAGGGAATCAAGATGGTTACAGGATTTTCTATAAATTACATGAAATGCAAGTAATTTTGCTTTAATGTTTTAAAAGTAGAACACTTATACATTAATTCCAGTCAGGAAAAACCAGTCTAGATTTTTTGAGGAAAGTCTACTATTCTGAGTATAAAAAAAATTTATTACCATCGAGTTATTTAAATTTGTCATACGCAGTTTCGTCAGTGAGGGCCAACTGGATTGGTAAACATTACCAGAATGGAAGATAGACAGTGCAACTTTTCTTTGATGAATTCTGGAAGTTTTTCATCTTCTCTATACCTAAGAAGATACCAATATTCCAATTTTAATCTTTTAGGATAACACTTTTTATTTTACATCATTCTAGTATGTAAGAGAAGTAATCTTACAGTAAGTAAGAACTGTACTGAATACTTGGGAAGGTACAAAAAATTGTAATGAACTCTATTGCAGTTTTTTTGGGGGAGAGAGGCTAGGTTTTAGTTCTCAAAACTATATTAAATTGTGCAAACCTAAAATGGTTTGACAATGGATTCCCAACTATGTTTCAGTGCAATGAAGGGATAGGAGGCGTAATCTATAGTGATACTCAGGATGTTTGTCCTCAGCTACAAAGTGGATATAGATCTCTGAAGCATAAGAGATTCTTTACAATATTCTCTGGCACTGAAGAGAATTTAGGAAAGCTGATATTAATCCACCCATGAATAACCTGTGGAAGCAGGATCTTCATTTATAAGGCAGAATTAGCCAGGAATTAATTACTAATGTATTTAAAGGTTAAAAAGTTTCCATTCCTGATCTTGCTAGGTGATGGTAATTTCTAATTCATTCAATTTATTTAAAATGGAAAAACAACCCTATTGAGCCAGACAATATTGGATTTTGTGAGCATATGTGAAGAATAAACTCCTGAAATGACAACTATGATGACAGGCATAACCAGTTACTAAGAACCAGTGGTGAAATCCAATTTTTTTACTACCTGTTCTGTGGGCGTGGTGTGACTTGGTGGGCAGGGGAAGGATACTGCAAAATCCCCATTCCCTCCCCACTCTGAGGCCAGCCAGAGGTGGTATTTGCCGGTTCTCAAAACTACTCAACATTTCCACTACTGGTTCTCCAGAACCTGTCAGAACCTGCTGGATTTCACCCCTGCTAAGAACTCATTTGTGAACTAGCCTCCTAGGCTATTCTCTCCTGAAGTATCTTTCTGGAGCCCCTAAAGCATTTTCCCACTAAATATGCTGAAAGCTGGTGCTTTGCTTTGCAGCAGGCCAGTTTTCTAATTTTGTTTTATTAAAAGTCATTTTTTAAAAAATCAGGTAAGTTAGAAGAGGATCAAAGTGGAGTCTTTCATCTCTTGCATTAAATGTTCTGATTAGAGCTATTATCTTATTAACAAATGAAACCAATGGTCTAATGATTTAAACCACACTTTCAGACAAAAGATAAGGGATTAAAAAAAATTGTATGCTATGGTTGTATTTTGCACATACAGAACAAAAATTGGTCAACCACATATATAACCTGCACTGTGGACAATAACATGTGTTGGAGTGTGGTACAAATTCAGAAACCAGGATTGAGTAAATTATACTGTAGTTATATTAACCATAAATAGGTTACATTTTTTTCACATTTCTCCTACACAAATATATTTTAAATACCGGAAGTTCCTAAAATTGATTCCTCAACTGCTGTTTTGTAACATCAGGAGTTTTTGTATAATGTTAAAACACAACCACTAGATGAATGTGCACATAATTGTAGAACATTGGTTTCTGCACAAGTGTATATGCATATTGTAAGAAAGCAGTTATCCAGCTGCTACCCCCAAGGCAGGGGGAGTCAACAAAAACTTAGTTCACTAGGAGATTCCTATTTTTGTCATTATATACAAATCAGGAATTGTGTTTTTAAATAAATTTGTCTAAGAATTAAGAGTTTTAAGAATTTTGAGTTGTTATAGTTTGCTTTCATCACATTTTTTGGTATATATATATATATATATATCAGGCTTCACAGATTATTTCAGCTCAATAATTCCAATTGAGTGAAAACATGCAAACAAAGCATTCATTTCAAGTCACAGTTCAACACATGCCTACTAATGGATTATATTATATGTTCCCTGTTTTCCTAGTCTTTTCATGAAAGTGAGTTTTCAGAACATGAATTATAATATCAAAAAGATGGAGATTACTGTATAATTGGAAGACTGTCCATTTATAAAATGGCTTACAATTAAGAGCTTGTAAAAAGGTGGCTCCTGTACTCTTAGAAAACATTCATGTGTCATGTTTCCAAGGGTGGCTTAATTCAGGGGTGGGATTCAGCTGGTTCTGGTGAACAGGTAGTGGTCACTGCGGGAGGCTCCATCTACCTGCAATGTGCGAGGTTCTGCCCATCCGCAATGCGCAAGCAAAGCGCATGCATGGAAGGCTGTGCATATGCACAGAGGAGGCGCATGCGAGCGAACCTAGTGCACGCATGCATGCGCTCACATTTGCGAAGGTAAGTGAATCCCACCTTTAGCTTAATTACTTTCTTTAACTTGGCCTCTGAATTAGTTCAGTGTTAAAGGACAAGCAATATAAAAACTATATGATTCAGGGCAGTCTAGATTTAATTTTTCATTTAAAAATTGAATCATAATATTGAAAAACATAATTTGGCATTTAAATAATTTGACATTTAAACCTGTTTCTCAATATACATACCCACATAACATTTTTATTGTTTATTGGTTTTCTTGTTTTTAGGGGGAGTTCTTCTTTTCTCTCTTAATTTTAGCTCAGATTTGTTAAACATAATTTATTATATAACAGTTTTTTCTGTCAAAGCATTTTAAAAATATACATGTAGTAGTACAACAGATAGTTGATGAAAAACAAATGGAGAAAGTAACAAAATATCAGAATTTGCAAACTGAAATTTTAATATTTAATTTTTTAAATCAAAATTGTCACACTGACTTTACAAAAAATCACCTTGCTTAGAACTTCCCACATACTAAAATCTGCACAGTTCCCACACTCTTGCTTAAAAATCAAATGAGAAAATATAAAGTCTAGAGACTGATATTTATTGAAGGATTACTTAATAATAACAAAACTAATACATACCTAACTGTGTCACCAGCTGGAGATGTGTAAGTAATAGAGGAAACACCAGCCTGAGCAACCAATTGGGATCCATCATTAAATTGAACCCATACTGCCCCACTTGTGAACTAGAAGGGAAAAAAAGATTATTTCATATATGGAAGTCTATAAAATAGCTGTTTACCTAATCACTCAACAAGAATTATCAAAAAAAGTATCCCACATTGTAAGGCCATTACATTATATTAAAGTGGTTTCATAATTAGGACCTGGCTTCAGGCTTAAATGAGAAGCAGTCTCCATTATTTTGGTTATTTGGTTTCGTCTCAAAGTAGTAATTTATTCAGAGAAATTACTCATTCCACTGGAGACAAAATGTTGCATTGGATGGAAATCATTGCATTCCTTTTTCAATGCAAATAGTGTTGCCTACTATTTGAGCAAGGTATAATCAGGTTTTTTGGCAAATTATATTCTGGCTCATGCACCTATTCGTATGCATTGTAATCCTGGCAATTTTTGTGTATCAAGTACAATAAGAAACTAATGGTAA